CTGCAAAATCTCCATTCCCACCCCACTCCTGGGGGGAGGATATTGCAAAATCTCCATTCCCACCCCACTCCAGGGTAAGGATACTGCAAAATCTCCATTCCCACCCCACTCCTGGGGGGAGGATATTGCAAAATCTCCATTCCCACTCCACATCTGGGGGAAGGATACTGCAAAATCTCCATTCCCATCCCACTCCTGGGGGAGGATATTGCAAAATCTCCATTCCCACCCCACTCCTGGGAGGAGGATATTGCAAAATCTCCATTCCCACCCCATTCCTGGGGGGAGGGAATATTGCAAAATCTCCATTCCCACCCCACTCCTGGGGGGAGGGAATATTGCAAAATCTCCATTCCCACCCTACTCCAGGGGAAGGATACTGCAAAATTCCCTATCCCACCCCACTCAAGGGGGAAGGATACTGCAAAATCTCCATTCCCACCCCACTCCTGGGGGGAGGATATTGCAAAATCTCCATTCCCTCCCTCCCCACTCCTGGGGGAAGGATATTGCAACATCTCCACTCCCACCCCACTCTGGGGCCAGCCAGAGGGGGTATTTGCCGGTTCTCCGAACTACTCATAATTTCCGCTACCGGTTCTCCAGAACCTGCTGAATTTCACCCCTGCTTCCAACTCTCTCATTCTCCAAGATTTTACCTGCCTTGTAGGACATTTTCTACGTGGAGTCTGCCCTTCTTCATCTTGATCTTGCAATGACCTCCCAAAGAAATCGTCTCTTACCTTGCGCCAATTTCTTCCCTTCTTAATTGAATTGCACGTTAATTGCCCATTTCCTTGAAGCAACAGAGGTTGCAACCAATTTAGCAGTACAAGAGCACAACTGGGGCTTTGCTTGACTTATTCTCTTCTACAAAGCAATCAAAGTAGAGTGCTTAGCTAGCTGGCTGCGACACATACCGGTACATACAAACAGGTCACTCTCAACTTAGAACCGTAATGGAGTCTGCCCGTTATGGTCCTAAGTGTGATGGCCATAAAGCAAGTCACCCACCCAAGTTTACAACCTTCCCTTTCTTTCATTGTTTTTTCTTTCCTCTCTTTTCCCTCCTTCCTCCCTCCCTCCCTCATCTTCCTTCCTTCTTTCCTTCCTTCCCCCTTCTCTCTCTCCCTCCCTCCCTTCCTTCCCCCTCTCCCTCCCTCCCTCCTTCCCTCTCTTCCTCCATTTTTCCTTCCCCCTCTCTCTCCCTCCCTCCCTCCCTTCCTTCCCACTCTCCCTCCCTCCTTCCCTCTCTTCCTGTTTTTTCCTTTCCCCCTCTTTCTCCCTCCCTCCCTTCCTTCCCCCTCTCTCTCCCTCCTTCCCTTCCTTCCCCCTCTCTCCCTCCCTCCTTCCCTCTCTCCCTCCCTCCCTCCTTCCCTCTCTTCCTCCATTTTTCCTTCCCCCTCTCCCTCCCAGCCTCCTCCTCTCTCTTCCTCCTTCCCTCTCTTCCTGTTTTTTCCTTCCCCCCTCTTTCTCCCTCCCTCCCTTCCTTCCCCCTCTCTCCCTCCTTCCCTTCCGTCCCCCACTCTCCCTCCCTCCCTCCTTCCCTCTCTTCCTCCATTTTTCCTTCCCCCCTCTCCCTCCCAGCCTCCTCCTCTCTCTTCCTCCATTTTTTCCTTTCCCCCTCTTCTTCCTTCCCTTCCTTCCCCCTCCCTCCCTCCTTCCCTCTCTTCCTCCATTTTTCCTTCCCCCTCTCTCTGCCTCCCTCCCTTCCTTCCTACTCTCCCTCCCTCCTTCCCTCTCTTCCTGTTTTTTCCTTTCCCCCTCTTTCTCCCTCCCTCCCTTCCTTCCCCCCTCTCTCTCCCAGCCTCCTCCCCTCTCTTCCTCCATTTTTCCCTTTCCCCCTCTTCTTCCCTCCCTTCCTTCCCCCCCTTCCTCTCCCTCCCTCCCTCCTTCTCTTCCTTTTCATTTTTGCAGGAAAAACAGAAAACTATGTGCGGTTTTCCGTTTGGTCGCTGTCGATGAGAACAGTTTTCTGATTGAAAGAGAATAAATGATACAGGGTTATGGGAATTAGTAAGTTGTACAAAGGAGGCATCTGATTTTATAGATAATTGATTTCAAATTCAAATATTCAAATACCTTCTGTCCTGCTGTTAGCCTTTTTTTGGAGTGTGGTTGTTGGCAGATACATTCATATCCATACATATATGCCTGTTTGTACACATACAGAAATGTCTGACTTGTGCAATTTGTACATTCACAAGGTTGGATTTCTGCTAGAATTGGTGACTCTAGATTGACACAGTGAGGAAGGTGAGCATAATATGGATTTTTGCTTGCAGTTTTTAGATGGATGAGAGAGAGAGAGAGATGACAGATAGATAGATAGATAGATAGATAGATAGATAGATAGATAGATAGATATTGATATAGATAGATGTTGGATGGATGGATAGATAGATGATAGATAGATAGATAGATAGATAGATAGATAGATAGATAGATATTGATATAGATAGATGTTGGATGGATGGATAGATAGATGATAGATAGATAGATAGATAGATAGATAGATAGATAGATAGATAGATATTGATATAGATAGATGTTGGATGGATGGATAGATAGATGATAGATAGATAGATAGATAGATAGATAGATAGATATAGATGGATGGATGGATGGATGGATGGATAGATAGATAGATAGATAGATAGATAGATAGATAGATAGATGATAGATAAATAGATAGGTGATAGATAGATAGATAGATAGATAGATAGATAGATAGATAGATAGATAAATAGATAGATAGACAGACAGACAGACAGACAGACAGATACATACCGTGTTTCCCCAAAAATAAGACATGTCCTGAAAATAAGGCCAATCGGGCTTTTCAGGACATGATAATATAAGCCACCCCTGCAAAATAAGCCCCCCCACCAACTATGTGCCCCACTCCCCCCGCTGGGCATGACAGGGCTCCTGCCCCTCACTTAGACACCTGCCCCCACCTGCCCCTTTAGGGTGCAATTTGGGGGTGGCAGGTGGGGCGGGCAAGAAGCGGGATGCGCGTCTTACCTTTCCAGCACCATCGCGTTCCTCGCCATTCTGTCCAGGGAGACACGTTGTAAAAAAAACTTTCTCGTGAGTTCAAGAAGTTTGGCTGAACTCGGAACATGATGGGTGAGTCTCGCGGCCCAACATGTCCTGTCCCACCCCAATGGCAACAGCAGCCTGGCTGCTACCCTTCCCCACCATCTCTTTATTGAGAGGGGTGGCAGGTGCGGCAGGGGAGAAGCGAGACACTTCTTGCCCTCCCCGCCTGCCACCCCCAAATTGCACCCTAAAGGGGGCAAGTGGGGGTGGGTGGCTAAGCGAGGGGCAGGAGCCCTGTCATACCCAGTGGGGGGGGGAGAAGAGATGGCAAGGGGAGCCACGTCTCGCTCCACGCGTCTCGCTTCTCCCCCGCCACCTGCAAGAAACAACTCTTTGTGAGACTCGTTGCACCGCCACTGCCGCCTCATAGAGCAGGACTCTGCAAGGCTTGTGCCGTTGCATGCAGGAACTGCAGCACAGCCGCGAGGTTCAACATACTGGCACAGCCGCGAGCGGCAGGACGCCAGCTGTGCCGGTATGATGAAGCTCGTGGCGGTGCTGCAGTTCCTGCATGCAACGGCACAAGCCTTGCAGAGTCCTGCTCCACGAGGAAGCAGTGGCGGCAGGACACGTCAGGGCAATGGCCAACGCGAAGAATGGGGAGGGGAGGCGACGGCAGCAATGGGACATCCAGTTGCACGCTCACCGCATCCTGCAGCCCCAAAATAATAAGAAACACCCCACCCCACCCCGATAATAAGACCAAGCCCTTATTTGGGGGGGTCAAAAGAAAATAAGACCTTTGGAAAAAATGACAAAGAGACATATTGACCTTAAACCAGAGATATTTTTAATAGGGATCTTACCTGAGACATTCAACAAAGAATTACAATATTTGTGAATATATTAACAGCGGCTAGAATTGTATTTGCAAAAAACTGGAAAGGAGAGAAGATGATTACCGATGAAGAAATTATTAAGAAAATGTTGGACTGTGCTGAAATGAGTAGATTGACATTTGAAATAAGAGAACAGGAAGATAAACAATATTATTTGATATGGGAACTATTTTATCAATGGATAGATAATAAAGCATGGAGATGAAATATTATATACGAAATGAAATTTGGATAAAATGTTTAAGCACTTGTTTTTTTTTTCTGTTAGAGGTAAGAATACCTGTCATATAATGAGAGTTTGAAAATTTTGAGAGCACGAAATGATTTTCACCGATCGAAATACTGTCTCTAAGCGTTTGGAAGGTTGATGTTTTTATGTTGTTTTTGTTTTAAAAATAAAAAAACTTTTTGAAAAAAAAAAAAGAAAAAGAAAATAAGACCTTGTCTTATTTTCAGGGACACACGGTAGATAGATAGATAGATAGATAGATAGATAGATAGATAGATAGACAGACAGACAGACAGACAGACAGACAGACAGACAGACAGACAGACAGACAGACAGATGATAGATAGATGGGTGAATGGACAGACAGACAGACAGATGGAGAGAATATTTGTAGCTCTGGAATCATGTGGTGTCCTTGTTGCCTTTGAGCTTACTTATTTTCTTGCGGTCCTTTCATTATCCAATTAGGAAATGTATTTTTAGTACTCATGGTGTTACCTAATCGAGTAATGAAACATCTACAAGAAAACAACTAAGCACAGAGAAAGAACACAGGACAAAAAGAGAAGGTGAAAGAGAAAGGGAGGGAGGGAGGGAGGGACTGACTAGCCTGACTAGGTGGGTCAGTGGCTAAGACACTGAGCTTGTCGATCAGAAAGGTCGGCAATTCGGCGGTTTGAATCTCTAGTACAGGTCCCTGTGTGAAGTCCCTTCCAACTCTGTTACTATTAGGAAGGGAGATAGAGATTAAAATTTTCTGCTTATCTTGTGGAGATGATCATCAATTCAGAGTCATCTTCTAGCTCCCTTTTTCTTGCTCTTCTCAGGTTCAGGACAAGTTCCGTCTGGATCTGTCTGACGAGGAAGCTGTCCACTACATGCAGAGCTTGATCGACGAAAGCGTCCATGCTCTCTTTGCGGCGATGGTGGAACAGATCCACAAGTTTGCTCAGGTAAAAACTTTGGATCCCTCTTTCCTCGTCATCTATTAGAATTAAGGATTGACAGTTTAGGAAGGCAACCATATTTTCTCCTGAGAACCGTGATGGCTAATCCCCAGCCAGATCAAATGTAAACCCCAACGTTTGATGTGAAGTCTTTATGAGGTAACGCTGCTGGAATTCAGCATCGAAGCGGTTTAATAATAGTCACTGAGGCACTTCCTTCCCCTCAAAATTAGGAGTGAATAGGAATGGGAGACCTTCTGGAAGGTTCCCTCTTTTGTTTCTCCTTGTCCGATTGTCGAGTCTTATTCAAGGAAACGAGAAATATTTCAGTAAAGAAGTTGAATGCAAAAATTAGAGATAAGGTACAGATCATGGAAACTACAAGGGTAACTCCCATCTCTCTTTTATGTGGGAGTCCATTAAAGCACAGCTTTATTATTTTTATAAATAATTCACCACGGTGAACGTATCCAACACACCTTCCTCCTCCTGTTTTCCCTGTTCTGTCCCCGTACCACGCACACACACACACAGACGGCCCGGAGTTAATAAGCCACATGACAAAACTCTTTGATGATAGAGCTGGCAGCAACCCAGTGGCTAGCTGCCAATTCAGACTTTACTCACACAAAACAAAGATTAGACTGCAAGCATTCTGATAAAACAGGCAGAGTTTTCAACAATACAAGGATTAATCCAAATGCAGTCCGATAAAGCAGGCAAAGTCCAGTAACACAGAGATCATGGATTATTTCTAGGTTTTGCTCGTCACAAACTGAACCGGCCACCACACCCACATTTATACCCTGTGGGGTGTGGTCCAGTGACTCAGCTAATCTCTGGCACGCCTTCCCCTCTGCTGCGCATGCTTCTCCCTGCGCCTCTGTCGAGGGTCCAGCCAGCACTTATCTTCCTCGTCGCTGTCCACCTGTGGCTGCGGGGACGTGCTTGGCTCTGAGCCTATCGTTTGGCCTTCGGTGTCCTCCGGAGGCATTGCCAGAGAGGAGGGTCCTGGAGAGGGAGGCCTTGCCAACTCCTCCCCCTCACTCTCAGAGTCTTCATCTGTCGATAGCCCAGGCTCAGGCAATGGAGCCACAACATTCCCCACAACAACCCTGTGAGGTGAGTTGGGGCTGTGAGGAAGGGGCTGGATTGGCCCAAAGTCACCTAACCAGCTTTCATGCCTAAAATGGGACTACAACTCACCGTCTCCCGATGATTGGTCTAAAGTCACCCAGCTGGCTTTCATGGCTAAGCAGGGGTGGGCTTCAAAAATTTTAGCAAGGGGTTCCCTGCCCGGTTGCTGGGTGGGCATGGCCTGTTCGGCCTCCCGCCCCGAGCTCCGGAGGCTTTCCTCGAGCCTCCGAGAAGGCGAAAACGGCCTCCCCAGGCTCCGGAGGCCCTCTGGAGGCCAGAAATGGGCCCATTTCCGGCCTTCCCTGTCAGATAATTATCTGAAACAGTGCCATTGAACCACACTGTCTATACTGGAAGGATGGTTTTGTGTTTATACTTTCCCTCCATTTTGTCTAAGGGACTGAAGGGGGAGTGGCTTAGCCACCCTATAAATATGACCCCCTTTAGCCACACACACACTTGGGGAGACACATGAAAGGCACATAGGAGACACACAGGAGAAGGGATTATGCTCTAGGCACATTTACCTCAGAAATAAATAAAGACCAAGATACAATGTTCTGTTAGTTAAAATGTAAATAGTTTATTGATTTTAAATAAACAAAGTTTTTCTTGATAAAAAAAATCTGGCTTAATTGTAGCTGCTGGGACATTCCAAGATCTTATTGACCTCTACAACCTAAACTAAAAACTTTTCTAACATTCCCTAATTTCTGTTAGGCCCATTTTTCATGGGCCTCCCCGAGCCTCCACGTGCACTCTGCACTTACCTGTATGCAAAACGGGCCACGTGGGGACTCCTGGGAGGGGCGGGGTGGGCGGGGCCAGCCAGGAGTGAGATTTGGGGGTTCTCCAAACTGCACAGAATCTTAGCTAGAGGTTCTCCCAAACCCCTGCGAACCCTCAGCAACTCACCCCTGTGCCTAAGGCAGAACTACAACTCCCAATCTCCCGGAGACAAAATACATTGCAAAGATATTTCTTCTTCTTCTGCTGTTCTACCGAGGCTCAGAGACTCTTCATAACATTCATTTACGTTCTTTTGGAGAGTTGTTGAGGCCACCTGGGGGTTTATCTGTGTCCTGAGGGTCACCGGGTGGCCTCAACGATTCTCTAAAAGGATGCAAATGACCAACTGTCTGCAAGGAGTATCAATCCTTCCATTCCCCACCAGCCAGTCAGAGCTGAAGAAGCTTCTTGGATGAGAAGTGAAATGTCTTCAAATAAAACCCCGAGAAAGTTCAGTTGCCTCCTGAAAAAGCACCTTTGGGACAACCCTGGGGAGAAGGGCGGTATACAAGTTGAATTAATAAATAAATAAATAAACCATGACCTATATGACTGAGAATCTCCATGGACATTTTCCTGAGTGTTACTCTTGGTTCTGCCTGGCAAGTTTCTCCTTTTAATTAGAAGAAGAATCAATTGGTGCTTTAATTCCTGCGCAAAGTGACTCATGAAGTCGACAGTTTCTCCAAGAACAGATACTTATTAAAACCTCTTATCTGAGCCAACTGCGTAACCTACTGTCCTGCCAATTTTTGTTTCACCCTACGGTTTATGAGTCTCTCTCTTCCTTCCCACTCCAATCACTACCAACCCTAAGTAAATATATAGGATTCCTGATCTGATACCAAGTTTAATTAACTGGAAAATGTCACTGGAAGCCACGTACTTGTTACTGGGGGTTTTCTAATGCTGTATTATGAGCACACCAATTCTTGACAGTTTCTTGATAGTTTCCTATTGGTGACTACTCTCCAAGATAATCCCAAATTATCCCAATCCCCGTGCTTTTTTCAAGAGGCAACTGGACTGTCTGGTTTTTTCTTTGAAGACATTTCACTTCTCATCCAAGAAGCTTCTTCAAGTCTGAGAGGGTGATGGGGAATGGAAGGATTTATGTTCCTTGCAGACAGTTAGTCTTTTGCATTCTTTTAGAGAGTCGTTGAGGCTACTTGGAGATTTATCTGTGTCGTCAGGGTCACCTGAGTGATGCAAATGGGTACGGAGCCTTCGTGGAACTGTTGAAAGGACCGTGTTGTTGTAGACTGGAGATCGATGATCTCGTATCCTTTCCCCTCTGTTGAGAGAGTGCTGTTCGGTTTTAATATAGATAGCTCAATGACTCTCTAAGGGAATGCATATGACGATGCCGTTGTCTCAAATCATTGGCCATTGTTTTAACCTATTGCACAACATTTATGCGCTGCTCACTTTGTGAGCTTGTAGGACATGAGCTGGAAGGCGGTGTTAAACAGGTCATTGGTTTGGAATCATTGTGCAGCCAAAAGAGACCCAAATCCAGGCCCCATGAATTCTGTTGACCCTTACATAGTGCCCGTTCAGCTGTAATCATTACTTGACCACATTCTGATGTATTGGTCTCTCTCTCAGCTTTCCTCTTTCCTCTATATATTCAAAATGGACACTGATATACATATATAACCTTTTTCCCACTAAAATACCCCCCCCCAAAAAAATAAGCCCTCCCTGAAAATATTTAAAAGCATGAGCAGCCGGTTCCCGCCATTTCCTCTGGTTAGGGTTAGGGAGACAGAGCTGGAAATCAGGTAAGACAGCAAGAGGATCCCCGTCTTGCTCCACGCGCCCCAAAATAATAAGACCTCCCCAAAAATAAGGCCAAGCACTTATTTTGGGGTTCAAAAAAATATTAGACAGGGTCTTATTTTCAGGGAAACACGGGTATATGTGTGTGTTTGTGTGTGTGCTTGTGTGCAGACGTGCATGTGTGTGTAATGTATGGGGGGGGGTGTGTATGTATGTATGTATGTATGTATATGTGTGTGTGTGTGTGTGTGTGTGTGTATCAAATTTATATTTCACTGATAAAGAAATAAAGGGAGACTAGTATAGATCTATTTCAAGCTATTTAGAGATCTCCCCTGGCTCAAGCTGATGAAGGGAGGAGAGCTTCTGGTTCAGAGGTTAATACAACTGCCTAATATGCAGGCAGCCCAAGTTCGAATCCGAGTAAGGGTATCGTTAGCTGATGAGAGCTAAATAGCTTGAAATAGATCTATACTAGTCTCCCTTTATTTCCTTATCAGCGAAATATAAATTTGGTATAAAATGGTTTGTTGTGAATGCGACTGCTTGAGGGCTCCTGGATTGCAGCTGAAAGGCGAAAGGGAAGCAGTATTCTCCCTCTCACATGTTGGGGTTGACCAGATGGATTTCTCTTCTCTTCTCTTCTCTTCTCTTCTCTTCTCTTCTCTTCTCTTCTCTTCTCTTCTCTTCCCTTCCCTTCCCTTCCCTTCCCTTCCCTTCCCTCTCCCTTCCTCCTTCCCTTCCCTCCCTTCCCTTCCTCTCCTCTCCTCTCCTCTCTTACCCTATTCTACACGCCCTACCTATCCTATCACATCACCCTACCCTACCCTACCCTACCATCTTATCTCATCCCATTCCATCCATCCTACCTTACTTTACCTTACCTTACCTTCAGTAATACATTCTTTGGTGCTTTGAACTCAACAAATGCTCCTGATTCTTTGCACCTGCCATGAATCCTAAAGTAGTGCTACCGTAGATAAAGGTCAAGGGAATTTACAGGAGGCTGGACTTGGATCTCTTGTGGTTATGCAATGATTCCAAACTGATGATACATTTAACTCCGCCTGCTTGCCTCCTACAGAGCTCTTCTGAATGGCTTACCAAACTCAATTGCTGTACCATCAAAATCATTTTTTAAAAAAAAAAATCATTTACCTTTCAAACAGAACAAGTAACCAATAAGTATGATAAATTATCAATAGGCATTGTAAATTAGCAATAAGCGCCTTGATGCGAGAAACACATGAAAAACTGTAGCTTGAGTTTGAAACATGTTTCGCACAACTTTGGAAAGCAAGGAGAAAAATTAATCTGGTGCCTCTTTCCTCAAATTTGGGGAGTGGGCTGGGAGAGAGAGAGAGGGGGGGAGAGATGATAGATAGATAGATAGATAGATAGATAGATAGATAGATAGATAGATAGATAGATAGATAGGATAGAGACAGTCCATTTACTTCCCTTCAGAAAGCTAAATATTCCCCAGGCCATCAAAAGGTTGCCCAGCCTTTTATGCTGGCTTGTAAAAATTCCTCCAAGATAATTTCATGTAAAGCACTCTCAAAACAGCTATTTTAGCGTTAAGTATTATGCCTCAGTATCCCTTTGAGCACACTTAGATTCATTTTTCCCCCTCTCTCTGTTCTTGGTTTTTTGCCAGGTAAATGTTAACTTGTTCCTTCCTTCTCTTCCCTACTTTGCCAGACTAATAAAGCTCACCAAATATAATGCAGGGAAAGAAACCAAATATTTTCTCATAGGGCTTGAAGGAACACAGGTTGAGGTACTTGATAATATCTTATCTTCTCATGGAGGACAGGTGTAACTTCAAACTTAAGTGTTGTGGTCCGCCGGTAGCCTGTGGAACTGGCAGCAGAGTCGGACAGTGAGGAGGCTGGGGAGGAACATGGGCCAGTCCTGGAGTCTGGGGAAGGCTTGGACGAGGGCTTTGCGTTGGAGGCAGAGAAAGGGCCATCTAGGAGGTACGTGCTGTCTCCGGAGCCTCCAGAGTCGGACCTCAGCGAGGCAGAGGAACAGGGGGAGCCTGTTCCCAGTGCGCACATGCGCAGAGCTGCCAGAAGGCAAGAACAGTTAAAACAAAAGGGACAACTTGGGAGTAGGGCTTGGGAGATGATTGTCCCCTCCCATAAGACTTAAGAAAGGAGCAAAGGCATGTGGGCCTTTGCAGGAAGCAACATTGTTAATTCTGTTCAGTTTAAAGCTTGAAGCTCTGTTTGATTCTGGACTCCGTGTGGCTTTGCCAATTAGGTCTTTGGCAGCGTGTCAAGGGTGATAAAGGTGGGTGATTATCCCGAAGGACTGTTTACAACTATTTGGGACTTATCTGTGAATGAACAGAATTCACAGCTGTTGCAATAAAAGAGGTTTTTGGGACTACTTGTGTGTTTTACCGACTCAGGAGGCCTAGGTCAGAACAATAAGAGAAGTAGTTAGGAAAATTAAGTTCCATTCTCAACGGCCATCAACTGGGTATCAATAGAAGAGAATATTTGTAATTCAGGGTTGAACTGTTGGGTCCTTGGTGCTCTCTGAGTGTGGATGCTTTCTTGCAGACATTTTATTACCCAACCAGGCAACATCATCCATGCACATCTTAGATGAGGGAATAGAAGGGGAACTCGTCAAATTTGCAGGTGACACTAAGCTGGCAGGAATAGCCAACATCCCAGAAGACAAGCTCAGGATCCAAAAAGATCTTGACAGACTTGAACAATGGGGCCTATCCAACAAAATGAATTTTAATGTGGAGAAAAGCAAACTTTTACATTTAGGCAGGAAAAGCCAAAGGTAGAAGTACAGATTAGGCGAAACCTGGCTCAAAAACAGTAACTGTGAGAGGGACCTTGGAATTCTAGTGGATGATCACTTGAATATGAGCCATCAGTGTGCAGGAGCAGCCAAAAAAGCTAGCATAATCCTTGGTTGTATAAACAGAGGCATAGATTCAAAATCATGTGAAGTATTAGTACCACTTTATAAAACCTTACTAATACCACACCCGAAATACAGCAAACGATTTTGGTTGCCACACTACAAAAAGACGTTGAGACTTTGGAAAAAGTGCAAAGAAGAGCAACTAAGATGATCAAAGGCCTAAAGACTAAAACGTATGAAGAACAGTTGAAGGATTTGGGTTTGGCTAGTCTAGAGAAAAGAAGAATTAGGGGGACATGATAGCAGTATTCCAATATCTCAGGGGCTGCCACAAAGAAGAGGGGGTCAAATATTCTCCAAAGCACCAGAGGGCAGGACAAGAAACAATGGGTGGAAACTCCTCAGAGGGAAATCCAACCTGGAACTAAAGTGTCAGTCCTGCCCCAGTCCGATCCCTTAGGCGAGAAAGACCCTCGACTCCATTTGGTTGAAGTCATAGGTTCTTTTACTAAAAGATGCTGGCTGCAGTAAAGTCAGGCTAGAACTAAATTTCTCACACTTAAAAGATACAAAAGGTTTTCCCTCATCCCATCCCTCCCCCAGTGGTGGGTTCCAACTGGTGTTACTACTGGTTCTCTTCGTGCACCCGCTTTGCGCGCAATTGTCGCGTGCGTGCTTGCTTCATTTGCACGCACGCCAAACTTGCGTGCTCCGCACAAACGTGTTAGGTTTCTGGCCAGCTGAGGTGCGGCAATCCACTCTACCGCGCCTATCAGCTGGGCTAAAAACCAAAGAATAAAGCGGGGGCAGGCGGAGGGGCCGGCTCCCAGTTACAGAGAACCGGTTCGGTGACGTCACATTGTCACCGCTACCGGTTCGGCTGAACCGGGCCGAACCGCGAGCAACCCACCACTGCCCTCCCTCCATGACCAGTCTGTCTTCAGCCAATGAAGATTTGCCTAGATGTTTTGATAACGCTGAGATGTTCCTTTAAGGGTGCATGGCCTTGAATGTTGGCACAAACTGGTTCTGAACTCTGTTCTTCATCAAGCTGTCTTTCCCCCCCCTCCCTATTTCCATCACATACTGACACAGGTTTATTGCCCATTTGTTCATTCCCCCCCCCATACCCCCTAGTGTTTGATGGCAGGATGCCAGCGAGGCGCCAGGCCGAAGTTTAGTTTAGTTTAGTTTAGTTTATTTGATTTGTATACCGCCCTACTCCCGAAGGACTCAGGGCGGTGAACAGCCAAACAATAAAATACATAAATACAAAAAATTTAAAAACCCGATAAAATCAAATTAAATCATTTTGGCCCGGACAAATTAAAACACCCCAATAATTTAAAAACAGATTAAAATTTACATATTAAAAGAGGGAGGAGATTAGGCCAAGCCCGCCTGGTGAAATAAAAAGGTCTTTAGAGCACGGCGGAAGGTGCGCAGATCCGGGATCCTCCGTATCTCTGTGGGGAGCTCATTCCAGACGGTAGGTGCCCCACAGAGAAGGCTCTCCCCCTGGGGGCCGCCAGTCGACACTGTTCGGCTGACGGCACCCGGAGGAGTCCCTCTCTATGAGAGCGTACTGGCCGGTGGGAGGCTATTGGTGGTAGTAGGCGGTCCCGAAGATGGCAAACCTGACACCAAGAGAAATTTCCTGACAGTGAGAATGATTAATCAATAGAACAGCTTGTCTCTCAAAGCTGTGGGTGCTCCAACATGGAGGTTTTCAAGAAGAGATTGAACTACCATTTGTCCAGACCAGGGGTCTGCAACCTTAAACACTCAAAAGAGCCATTTGGACCTGTTTCCCACAGAAAAGAAAACACCGGGAGCCACAAAACCCTTCCTATGCCTGACTATTTCTTGAGCGGCTACAAAACTAGCATATGTAGTTGAAGTAAACATTCTGTTTTCTTCGGAAACTTTTCTTTTCTTGGATTTATCCATGGTTGGCCTACTGAGGGTTGAAAAGCTCGTGCCGGCGGGTGTCGCACATTGGCGGTTGTGACGCATATTTTGAGTGACAGGGAGCCGCAGCAGAGGGGGTGAAAGAGCCACCTGCGGCTCCAGAGCCGCAGGTTGCTGACCCCTGGTCCAGATAGAGGGTTGGACTAGAAAACCCCCAAGGTCCCTTCCAACTCTATGATTCTGTGATTATAATAACAGAAGAACAGAGTCGGAAGGGACCCTGGAGGTCTTCTAGTCCAACCCCCTGCTCAAGCAGGAAACCCTTTACCACTTTAGGCAAAGGGTTATTCAACCTCTTCTTTAAAACCTCCAATATTCAGAAGTTTCCCAACGTTTGAAAGCATTGAGTTCAGAGGTGGTATTCAGCCGGTTCGGGCGAAACGGAAGTGGTGACTTCCACTTCCACTGCCCAGCCATCCACCCCGGTGCTATGCTGTCCTATTTCTAAGCCACCCACATGCACGCAAAGCGCATGCAAAGCTCATGCACAGAAGGCATTTTTTTCTGCGCGCATTTTCGGCGCGCGACAAACCGGTGGTAAAATCGTATGAAACCCACCTCTGATTGAGTCTGTTCCTTGTTAGCCCAGGGTACTTCAGCTTAAATCCCACTGATGAAAGTAAAAAATAAATATAATTGGGACATTTTTTTAAAAAAATATATATTTTCTTTCTCTTTTCCTCACACAGTACTGGAGAAAATGAGACCTCATCACTTCCGAAGGCAAAAAATTCTCCTCCAGCTGCTTCCTGAAACTCCTGAAGATAACGTCAACCAAGGATGTAACTTTTCTAGCTTGGATAATGAATTTATCCAGAATTGCCATTCCAAACTGGGACAGGGGTATATGTTCCTCACTCTCAGTTATCAGACACAGTTTGGAAAACAGGGCAGTGCTGTCCAGAACCCCAATGACAAGAAGAAAATAAATGTCTAATGGTTTTTGAAGGACATCTGTGCACTTATTACTGTGGTCCCTCTACAAGAATGCAACTATGGAGAGACACGTACGGCCAAAGCTTATGAACTTGGAACGGAAGTTTGGAGTCATTTCTAAAACTTGTCCAAACTTCAGTTGGACCTCCCTTTTAGAGTAGATTAGTTCCTACGGATTCCTTTTTTAGAAACAAGCTCTCATCAGATCTGGACCTTTAGAACAAAGCAAAGTCCTCAAAAGATATCAGCGACGGACTTCAAATTTTTTAGAAACAAGCTCTCATCAGATCTGGACCTTTAGAACAAAGCAAAGTCCTCAAAAGATATCAGCGACGGACTTCAAATTCCTGACGGGAAGAGAGCGAAAGTTTTCACTTTGCGTACAACAACATAATGTATGTTGACTGTATATGCCAAATCTAATAAAATGGCTTTGGTGCAATCTTAAATTCTCTTTATTTAAGCTTCTTCGGCTTCCTTCTGCTGCTGTCCTCACCCTTAGATATAAATGTCTATTTAAAGATTTATTTCAAGCAGTTTCTGTTCCAGATTGACCCCCTTCAGCTTGACATCGTCTTCTTTTAATGATCCCATAATCCCTTGCACGGTGGTGTCTGGGCAGCTGAGTGTTTACTGGCCGGATGCCCTTCCTGTCACCGGTACGGAGTTTTATTCAGCAGATAAATTCTCATTATGCCCAGAGAGAGAAATATCTGCCTCTACCTAGGATCGAACTCACAGCCTCCTGATTTTGAGGCGAGATCTCCACCTTTAGGCCATTGCACCGCACTAAATCTAGGATCTCTTAACTCTTAGGCTAATATTCTGAAATTGGTTTACTTGATGGTGGACCTTCAGATGCCACTTAACTCTTCGAGAAAAGAATAAAGCCAACTGCAGGTATTCCTCAACTTACAACCATCCGTTTAGCAATTGTCTGAAGTTACGACGGCGCTGAAAAAAAGGGACTTACAACTGATCCTCGCACTTACAACTGTTGCAAGTCATGTCATCCAAGTTTGGGTTATTTAAGACCTTCCCAGCCGGCTTTCAACAAGCAAAGTCAATGAGGGAAGCCAGTATTCACTTAGTGACGGCACTATTCCCTTAACAACTGCAGCAATTTTCTGAACTGTGGCCAAACAAGTAAAATCAAGCGCAACTCACTGAACAACTGTCTTACTTAACAACAGAATGTCAGGGTTCCGAGTAACATACCCATAGCAAACAGAACTCTTGAGGCAGTAGATTCCTTAAAGAACAGTTTTATTGGATATATCATATTGGCACACGACTGGTGAAAACCGACTCTAACTATTCCCGCTGTTTTCACCGAATTAAAAGTAAACGTTTTCCCCCTTTTCTCAAACAATCAGTCACATGGTCCAATCAAAGCTCTGTCCGGTTGCTTGGTAACTTCACTCCTCCTCTCTCCAGCCACCTGTGGGAATGTACTTGGTTCCCAGAGGAAACTGTTCTGTTTTGGATACAAATTCCCGCCCCCACCCCCACCCCAGCTATCTCTATTCCCCCCCTCCCCTAACCCTCATCTCCATTGAGGCAACCCTGAAGCCCCAAAGATGGCCTCAGCTTCAGTGTTGACACAGAAATTCTGGTATCAAGTGTCGTAAATTGAGGACTACCTGTACAACTGAAAATTCATCTATAGCGCACTAGGAAACCGATTACTTACCCCGTCGCATCGTTTACGGGTACGAATTAACACGACGTGAATAACTTCTGCATTTATCTCAAAGCTCTTTTGTCGATACGCATTCTGTAGCGCATAATACGAATGGGAAAAAATGTTCTTTAATTGGGTTGGTATATTTTCTCAGTTCATAACCAGGTTCCGTGCACGGAGCGTTCTCTCTCTCTCTGTCCACTTTTATTGTGTGTGTTAACTGGTGTAGAGGGACGTTTTATTGTAATGACACCACAACAGGAGATAAAATAGGTACAGCCGTTCCAATGTATTTGCATCTTGCAGATTGGAAGGGAGGGAAATGTTGCATCTAATTTTTTTTTTCCTTCATTATAATTATTGGCTCTGGTTTGCCTTTTGAGACACCTCCTCCTCCTCCTTCCTTTTTAAATTTTTAATCGGCTTCTGAAATTTTTCTCGAGCCCATTTTTTCCCCTTCTTAATTAAACACCACGTTCTCCTTTTGCTCTGCTGTTCCCCCTCCCCCCCCCCCGAGCAGGAAAAAAATGTTTTCTGAGCCAACGTGCGATCTATAAAGTCAAATTGTTCTCCCGGGCTTCGTATCATAACGTTGCTGTTTTCAGCTACACAATTTCGTCCACCGGCTTGGGGCTTGGGAGAGTTTATAACTGGGGGGTAGATTCTTTTTCTGTCCATGTTCCTTTGGGGCACTGATAAAACCTAGAAATCTCAGGGTCTGTGAAGGTTGTCAGTCATCCAAGGTCATGGTTGTCCCAAGGGAGTTTCTGGTCCCTTGGTTGTGAGCTCTGTACCTTGCTTTTTTTTTCTTTTCTTTTTTTCTTTTTTTTTTTCTGCCTCTGAAACTTCTGAAACTCTGTTTCAGAAAAAAACTTTATTTTCTGCCTCTGAAAGCCTCCGAAACAGCTTCAGAAAAAAAGCCTCCGAAGCTCTGTTTGTGGGCTTCTTTTCTGAAGCTCTGTTTGGAGGCTTTTTTTCTGAAGCTCTGTTTGGAGGCTTTTTTTTTCTGAAGCTCTGTTTGGGGGCTTCTTTTCTGAAGCTTTGTTTCTGATGCTTTTTTCAGCCTCTGAAACCTCTGTTTGAGAAGCTGGGTGGGGCTACATTCGGAGTATAAGATGCATCCAGATTTTCACCCTCTTTTTTGGGGGGGAAAGGTGTGTCTTATACTCTGAAAAATACGGTATATATATATACTGCTCAAAAAAATAAAGGGAACACAAGCAGAAGACATCCGAGATCTGAATGAATGAAATAGCCTTATTAAATACTTTGTTCTTTACATACAGTAGTTTATACGCTGCTCAAACAACTAAAGGGAACACAAAACTACTGTATGTAAGGAACAAAGTATTTAATAAGGCTATTTCATTCATTCAGACCTCGGATGTCTTCTGCTTGTGTTCCCTTTATTTTTTTGAGCAGTGTATATATTTTATACCAAATATATATTTTGCCACATGTTGGGGTAGACCAGGTGTCTCGGTAAACATTTTTTTTATATATATATATATATATACACATATACATATATATACATATATATACATACATACATACATATATAATTTTAAATTTTTCTTTTAATACACACATTCCATTTTACGTTAGTGTGTCATCAGTATAAAATTCTGTGTGTCTTAACAATTAAACTTACCACCATATTTATTTCTTACATTCATTCTTATATTAATACTAAATAATAATACTATGTTTCCACGAAAATAAGACCCTGTCTTATATTTTTTTGAACCCTGAAATAAGCGCTTGGCCTTATTGCCATGCGCTCAAAAGCGTGATTGGGCTTATTATCAGGGGATGTCTTATTTTGGGGAAAACAGAGTAATACTGATAAAATAACATAAACCTAACATTTCTCTTCTTTACTTATCTATTTTTACAATACATTGCTTTCATTTTTATTTATTTATTTATTTTTATTTGATTTATATGCCGCGTTTCTCTGGAGACTCAGGGCGGCTTACAGTGCGTTAAGCAATAGCCTTCATACTTTTGTATATTTTATACAAAGTCAGCTTATTGCCCCCACAATCTGGGTCCTCATTTTACCTACCTTAGAAAGGATGAAAGGCTGAGTCAACCTTGAGCCAGGAAGATTCGAACTTACTTTAATTGCAGACAGCTGGTGTTAAATTACAGTGCCTTGTCTGCAGAGCTATTTATTCTCTAACCATTAATAAAATAACTCCCATATATTATAATAATCTGATTCTTCCTTTTCTTGAATTGCAAGTGTTAATCTTTTCATTTCTGCACAATCTAATATTTTCTTAATCACTTTTTCATCTAGAGGGATCTCTTTCCAATTTTGTGCAAATAAAATTCTAACTGCGGTTATTACATGAATAATCAAATATACAGTTTCTTTATTACGAAGAAAGAGAATCCAAAAAGCTTCTTCAACTCTGACTGGGTGGTGGGGAATGGAAGGATTTATACTCCTTGCAGACAGCTGGACATTTGCATTCTTTTTAGAGAGTCGTTGAGGCCACGTGGAGGTTTGCCTGTGTCCTCAGGGTCACTTTGGCCATCGGCCAAACAATGTCGACTGGCGGCCCCCAGGGGGAGAGCCTTCTCTGTGGGGGCACCTACAATCTGGAACAAGCTCCCCCCAGAGATACGGAGGATCCCGGATCTGCGCACCTTCCGTCACGCACTCAAGGTTTTCTTATTTCATCAAGCTGGCCTGACCTAAATCTTTTCCCCTGTTAAATGTAAATTTTAATTTGTTTTTAAATTATTTGGTATTTTAATTTGTCTCAGCCAAATTATTTAATTTGTTTTTATTCTATTTTAAATTTTTGTATTTATGTGTTTTATTCTGTGGCTGTTCACAGAATCCTTCGGGAGTAGGGCGGTATACAAATCCAATAAAAACAAAAAACAAACAAAACAAACTTGAGTAGTGCCAATGGGTGTGGAGCCTTTTTGGAACGGCTGAAAGGACTGTGTTGTAGACTGGAGATAGATGATGTATGTAATACCCCTCCCCCTCTGAGAGAGGGCTGTTCAATTTTGACATAGATTGCCTCTCTCAAACCAGCGGTCCTCTCTGTCCAAAATATGGACTTTGCTGTCTTCAAAAGAGTGGCCGATATCTTTTAAATGCAGATGGACTGCTGAATCTTGTCCTGATGGGTTTGTTCTCCTATGTTGTGCCATGCGTTTATGAAGTGGTTGTTTTGTTTCCCCAATGTACAGATCAGCACATGGCTCACTGCATTGTACTGCATACAACATGTTACTCACTTTGTGACCCTGATGACACAGATAAATTTCCAGGTGACCTTAAAGGTAAAGGTAGAAGTTCTCCCCGCACATATGTGCTAGTCGTTCCCGACTCTAGGGGGCAGTGCTCATCTCTGTTTCAAAGCCGAAGATCCAGCGCTGTCTGAAGACGTCTCTGTGGTCATGTGGCCGGCATGACTAAACGCCAAAGGCACACGGAACTCTGTTACCTTCCCCCCAAAGGTGGTCCCTATTTTTCTACTTGCATTTTTTACGTGCTTTCGAACTGCTAGGTTGACAGAACACCCCATTACGTGGCACTAGGGATTCAAACCGCTGAACTGCTGACCATTTGATTGACAAGCTCAGCGTCTTAGCCGCTGAGCCACCGCATCCCCCAAGTGTCCTTAACGACCCACTAACAGAATGCAAACAACCAGGTGTCTGCAAGGAGTATAAACCCTTCCATCCTCCACCATTCGGTCAGAGCTAAAGAAGCTTCTTAGATGAGA